TCATTTACAATTGACGCTTTCGCATTTACAACTGGAAATGGTGTAGATCTTTAATTGAGTTTAATTCAATAGAAAGGAATTGCTGTATTGACTTTTCATTAAGCCGTTTCTGTTTTAAGAATCTACTGTTTTCTTATGATAAGCATTAATTACTTATTTAAGTTGCCCTGAATTTATATACTATACATTGTTAGCTAGTCTATAAGAATTTATTGTTTCATTGACTTAATAAATACGGAGATGATGGCTCTAACAAAGGCCATGAGGGAATGCAAAGTGACAGTATAAAAAATCGAGCATTCTATTTGCCGAATGACTGGCGAGATTCAGGATAAGGATATGGATGAAGTCGCCAGCATGCTCCCTTTAGAAACCCTTACAGCAGTGAGGGAAATAGAAGAAAAACTGCAGTTACCAGATTTCGCTCAATCAATGGTATGAAAGTGAACTGTTTGTTTAATATTTCCATGAATACATGTATGTACTTTAATTTTTCCTATAGACAGCGTACTTGTATAAAATGAAAGGAACTTCGGAGGATGTGAGCAATGTTACCCGTAAAGTTTTTACGCATGACCTCCTGGAGAAATATAACTGGGATGGGAGGTGGGAAAAGAAGTCGTTGGCAGAGCTTACGCTTGTGAACACGACTCTAAGAGGTACATATTATGACCAAGCAAAAATAATATATGTATTTTTAAAGCTTAAATTTTAGATGTCTTCAAAAATAAAGGAGCCTTTAATTATCAAAAAAATGTCCGAAAAGCAGTGGAGCTGAGTCACCACCGTCTTCAGCAAAAAAAATATTTAAATAAGGGAATATCTAAATAATTTGTTTACATTTATTATATACTAGCGAGCACCCGACGTCGTTCGGGGTAAACAAATAAAAATATAAAACAGTAATACAATTATTCAGTTCAGCATAATTTAAAGGAGACAAACTATTTTCTTTGTTTACATTAAGGCATCCTATGACCCATACTTTTAGCTTTATCGTGCTTTAACTAATATATATTGACCATCACTTGTGCTACAAATCTTGTTCCATTATTAATATTAGGTAAATTACCGTAACGATCAAATTTTTAAATTAAAGTTAGTCTACTACGGTAAATTCCGTTTAGCTGCCTATTCGATTAGCTGTTTTAGTATAGCTGCACTTTTCTGGTAGAATGCTTAATTCGGAAGGATTTTTATTCATTATGAATGAAACTTTTTCGTTTAACAGCACCGCGAGATTAAAAAACGATTTAATCTTTCCATTTCAAAATAATCTAAAGACGGTAAGGTTTCAACAAAAAAAACACAGTTTTAAATATCCGAGTTATCTAATAGATGAATTAGTATATGTATATCCCCCTTTTACAAACTCATTTATATATACTTTACTCTGAACACCTCCCATAGATACCTGTGTCTGATACCAAATTCAAGTTCATGTGACTTATGGTTCGCAATTTATGGCTGATTAAAAATTCCACGCCTATGGGATGTGCCACGCCCCTTTTTACAAACTCGTTTATATATAGCGCCTACCATTGATATGCCTGCATACCAAATTTCAAGTTCTTGGGACTTATGGTTCCGAAGTTATAGCTGATAAAATTCAACGCCTATGGGATGTGCCACGTCCCCGTTTACAAACTTATTTATATATGCCATACTATAAGCGCCTACCATAGACATGCCTGCATACTAAATTTCAAGTTCTTGGGGCTTATGGTTCCGAAGTTATAGCTGATAGAAAATTCCACGCCTATGGGATGTGCCGTGACCCCCTTTTGCAAACTCATTTATGTTGAAATAGATTTTTGTAAAACTATTTTTTCTATCTTGCCCACAGTGCGTATTTCTTACTATTACTTTAGTTCTCTCATTCATATTTGCATATGTATATAGCTTGCAGTTATCTACTCTTTATAATAAAACTCTTTTCCTTTTCC